TTTTCTTGTATTTTATCGCTCTGCTGACCCTTGGGGTCCATTTTATTTTGGTATACCTTTTCTAGGTACGTTAGCCTGTGACCACGGAAATTGGCCGAGTCAAGTGATGGATTAGTACGGAGAGATTGAGACAGAAGGAGGTACTGGATAGAGAGACCGGGATGGTTTTTAATGTGAAGACAACAACAACAACATACTCTCGGGAAGGTATATACAGCTCTAGACTCTAGGACACAAACTTTAACTTTCGCTAATACTTCCGTGGCCGTGGAAGGGAATACACTGCATACATACGTAAACGCATGTTAACTCGGGGATGTTTTATTGTCACCTACGCGTCTCAAGTAGTTTGACTTGCTGGCAATGCGTATCATTTGCAACAGACACCTACGCATGCAGCAGACATGTCTTCGCTCTACGAGCAACCCCATGGCTCTAGGCACAAGCCCCGTGGGCCATAAATTGGTCGCTGCGTAGCTGCACGACCGTTCGTCACCGGTCGCTGTGGGTAGGGTTCCAAAATTCTGCGAGTGCGCAAAAGGGGTGGAAATATTGGAATGTTCGAAATAGAAGATGGGTGTGCCCAAAAGAGGGAGGTGTCTCGTTGATAATCCAAATCCGAACCCCCGCGAGGTTAACGCCTAACAGGCATCTGCAACGACATCGCAAACTCGCCACGTAGTTCTGTGTTAGGCACAAGTTTTGATGGACACGCTGCAATGCTGCGTGCATCTGCAGCAGCAATATTATACAACACAGCGCGCGTACCAAAAATATATGCAGAACACAGATACAGGGGAGCGTCCGAAAGTATTCCATCTTTTGGGACTGGACCGAGACCACGCGCAGCCACCACCTGTGAGCACCTGATGTATCTTCCGTCGTGACGGCGCGCGGAGGCACGCGGAGGCACGCGCTGCTTTCATTATCGGCCTCCGCTAGACGGGAAAAAACATGCGGTCTGTAGTCTGTCGCTTTCAACGATTGTTCCATCCATCTACTGGCTCTCTGTTTCTCCCTCCTTAGGGGAACAAAAAACCCACCTTGTTGCATTCGCGACACTCCCCGATCCCGATGACTGCTGCTGCGATACGCGCCCCCGCTCGCCTGTTGCTGGGCCTCGTCTCGCATCGCCAGGAGCTCGCGCTCCACGCGCCGACGCGAGCCCTTCGCCTTCATCGCACCTCCACGTGCGCAACCACCCCGGCAAAGCCGCTGCTGCTGCTGCTGCTCCTGCTGCTGCCCTCTTCGCCGCCCAGCGACCGCTGATCGCGCACCCAAAACCGACACAGCTTGCTCCTATACATAGATCGACATAATTTCGGAAAGATGCGCCGCTCTCTTCCGCTCGCTATCTCTCTCTTTCTCTTCTCTCTGGTGTGCCAAACAAAACCGCGCAAAGGATATCTACCCTCTACGCTCCGTCTCCTTCCCGCCTTGTGAGTGACTGCTGCGCAAGGGCCGGCCAGGCTACCGTTGGAAGTGACTTCGAGCGTGGTGAGGCAAGGGCCGCGGGGCAGGATGTATGGCAACCCTTGAGACGCACGAGAGGGGGTTCCGTGGAGGGACATTTTTCAATTGCCGCCGCGGAATAACCCGGAGAGGGCACCACAGGTACAACAAATGTAGGAGGCGCGCATCTGTGTCCTGGGCTTTTGCGCCATCGACGTTCCGAGACGCTCTCCGATTTCCAGAACCACCCAGAAGACAGGGTATCAAGCACAGCCGCACGTGAGCAGCTTGTGTTTCCGCACACACTTCGCGCACTCCATACAAAAAATAATAACGTCTCTTCTTGTTAGGGTATTCTGCTGTCTCATATCGTCCTTGATCATCCGGATTTTGCAACGACCGGTAAAATCTCGGCTTCTCCGCGCAGTACCAGCAGCACGCAACGCGCGCCCTCCGGTTGGCGTCGGAATTATGTGTGCCGTCGAGCAATTTTACTATTGAAACTCGACCCGCCCATCGAACACGTCATCAAACACGCCCCCACAGCAATACTTGGACTTGGGCGGGGCGCTTTTTCGCCTCGACGGACTATCACCTTCTTCTTCTTCAGCCATGGCGGAAGCACGAAGAGGGTGGAAGGCGCTCGCTTTGCTGTCGTGTCGACGACGGGGGGATATTTTGGCACAATTCAAAAGTCCTCAATGCCTCCAGAAGAATTGCATGCAAGAAGATTAAATGCATTTCTTCAGAATTCTGCTGTGTGCTGCCATCCTCGGTCCTTGATTGATCGAACCTAGGAAAACGCCCGAGAATGTTAAAAGCTTTCAACTGCTGTCCATACACAGTCCAGTCCTACACTGAATGCACCTTTCGTGAAACCAGCCCTACCTACAACATAGACCGTCACAAGCGTTTGCATATACCCCCGCCAAAGTATTACGTCTCCACTCTAAATCAGGATACGTCACGGAAGAACTATTTACTACGCCTTCTGCTTCTCCGCGGCCTCTAGGCGGGCCAGCCTGTTCTCGATAACGTCCAAGACCATGTCGCGGTTTTTAACTTTGTGCTCCACGTGGCGGATCTTGAAGTCTATGTCTTCGGAGACTTTCGCCCCGTCCTTGGAGGAAGCGAGCTTCCGATCCGCGGTCTGAATCAAGATCGCACAGGCAGCAGGCAGCCGCAAAAACGACGGAAGTCGGCAACCCCAACGAGTGGATGAAGGTACAGATGACGTAATACTGCTGTAACAATGGTCTACGAATTGAAGAATACATGGGTGGGTGCGGAATGCGAATCTTGTCGATCGTTGGGCAACAAGAAACCCGCTGTGGATTCGGCCATTTCGACTTTTTAAGGGCTACTTGCTCAAGAGCCGAGGAGCGGGAAGTCTTTCCACATCCCTGGCCCGCTTTCTCTCTCTCTCTCTCTCTCTCTCTCTCTCTGAGACTTCCTCGATGCCAAAATAGGAAGAGGGCCGTTTTAAACGTTTCCAAAGATTCCAATTTTTTTCCAAAGCTCCAAATATTTGGAACCTGTACGTAGGCGTTCTTCCAAAAAATTAAAAAAAATTGGAACGAAGTCGGGCCCGAAAATTTGGCGCCAGTAGCTTCCGAAATTTGGAAGCCTTTTTTGGAGCACTTTCCAAATCACCCTAAGGGCCGTTTTAAACTGACCGACTTTTTGTCAAAATTTTTGAAAGTGTCAAAAAATGGAACCTGTATGTAGGCGTTTGTCCATATTCTTTTAAAATATGTGGAACGAAGTTGGGCGCGAAAACTTTGCTCCACTTCGTTCCAACTTTTTGACAACCCTCTCAAAGTATTTGGAGCACTTTCCAAAGTACCCTTGCAGAGGCACGCGAGGGCTGCTGCGTCTGCACCACGAGTGCCCCTCACCGTAGAAAGTCAGCTAGGGTTGTGTGTGGGTCATGGCCGACCGTAGAAAGCGCGGCGCGCCTACAGATTCGAGCGGCTCTCCTCGCCCACGGGCACGCGCAATACAAAAAAAAAAAACGGCGGTCCGCCATGATGGCTTGCAGTTGTTGCTTCGCGTCCGCCGCTTTGTTTTTTCCTTTTCCCGGGGGGGTAGGAGCAGTGGTTGCCACCCCTCGCCGGCGGAGTGTTGGTGGCGGCAGCGCCTCCCGTGGTAACATGAGTGTTCCCCGAGATGCCAGGCAGCAGCACTATCTTGCTGGAGAGCAAGCCTCCACCGCCTACGGCGGCACCGAGAGAGCCCGTCTGCTGGAATTTCGCCGGGGTTTTGGTCTGCCGGCCACGCTGGGTGGTCGTGATACCATGTCGGTGTCCATGATGTCGTGTTTTCCGCGGTTTGTGTTGTGTCGTCTGTGTTGTCTCGAAGTGAGCGCTACAACTCACGGACGGCGTCATTTTTTTTTACACAAGTTGCACAAGTCTACGTCACGCGTTAAAAATGACTGCACACAGGTTCCAAGTTTTTGAAAGACAAATGTCGAAAATTTTGACAAAAAAGTCGGTCCGTTTAAAACGGTCCTAAGTTGCCAAATGTCGAGAAACAAAGACAGACTTCCCTGCCCCCGATAGTGATTGAATAGTACCATACCACTACCTGGGTCTCCTCCGCACATCGAGGGTACCCTTTGCCCTCACAAACGACAACATATTTCCTGAGAAACAAAACCACGGGGAGAGCAAGGAACGCTACATATGCTACACGGCACGCGTGAGATTGGTTGGTTGGGCTTGGGAATAAGCAAAGGTGCCGCGATGAGCTAAGTAGCTGCGTGGGTAGCCAGGGATAGCAGCCCAATTATCATGGCCGCCTTCTGGCAACATGCAATATCTACTATCATCTCTGAACCTACCAGCGCCTTTGGTCAAGAGCACGGCACGAGGGCAGACGCAGCGGGTGTGGCCAACATCGTTCTTCGAGTACTACGCTCCGCCCGCCCACTTTCAAACCAAGCAGCAGCGTGTACACAGATGCTCCCACGACTTAGCATTGCAGGTGGTCTGGAACATGCTGCACTTGGACCAAGCAGAACTACACACAATTGTATTGTACTGACCTCTCGCCAGTCTTCGAGGGCGCCTAATCGGTCCAGCACCGACGACAAAGATCGCTCGACGTACTTGCCCAACACGTCCACCTCGAGGTTAACCTTGTCCCCTTTGCTCTTCTTCGGAATCACCACATGTTGCTGTAACGGGGTGGAGGGGGCAAAAAGATGGGGAAAGGGGGAGCGCGCGCGGGGGGGTCAGTGACATGGACACGCAAGAACGCAATGTATCGGCGTAGATTCTATTACTTGTTATTTAGCATGTTAGGCACCGCTTACGGTAACCGTCTTGACCACTCGGGCCATTGTGGGTCGTAATAGATGGCCAAACAACAATGAACACCTCCAACATTTCATCTGGGAGGTTTGATGGACGTTAGTCGGTTTGGTTTGACAATCCCTCGTGGATGACACGAATCCGAAGCAAAAAAACGCAACACTGCACGCAAGTCATCATGTGTGCCGATCGGCCATTCTTATTCCAGCCCCGATTGGCGTGTCGAGACCCTACAAACCGCAGTGACGGACTGCACTCAGGCGAATAGCCAAGTCATTCGCAAACATCACGCTGGTTCGCCAACCAAGGGTTATTTGCCCATCATAAATTTAGGTCCAAAATACTCCGGTGCTACAATATGCGCACGAGAGCAAGTAAGTGCAGCACAGCATCGGGGTCTAGGTACCTGCGTGTAGGCCACCAGCATGAAGGTGAACCAACACTCTTGGTTGTTCACTTCGCACACCGTGAGGCTGGTGCCATCCACCGCGATGAAGCCCTTCGGGGCGATATATCTGACCAAATCCTGGGGAACTTCCACCTGTGCACATATGACACGACAATCGCGGCGTGCGGACGGCACGCAAGAACAGAAATAGCCGGGAGTAGCCAGGATTGACGGGGGTTCTGGGCCAATACACGATGGAAGGCCTCGTAAGGAACGGGGGGCTTGAGATCGACAACGCATTGAAGCACATCGTGAGCTACTGCGGTTGCGCCTCTTGACTGCTCCTTCACAAGCACATCCGCTGGCGGCCGCTTCCATCCAATGCGGCGGTTCACACCTTGACGACGAGGGAGTCCTCGTCGGCCTCCATGCTCAGGATAGTCCCGACGTTGTCCACGTGCCCCTGCACGAAGTGGCCGCTGTTTCGCCCGTCCACGGGCAAGGCCCTCTCAAGGTTGACCTCGTCCCCCGCCCTCAAGTCTTCCAGGTTTGATCTCCGGAGGGTCTCGGGCGCGAGGCCCACCTTTATTTATTCACCGGTGCATCGCGATCGAAGCGCGTCTCTCATGATCACATACCAAAAAAAAAGAAGGGCGTACGGGGAATGCATGCATACAGACACTTGGGGGCAAACTCCGTGATCATCCTGTGTTGTGCATGGAAGCGCCATCAGATACCGTCTCTCATGATCACATTTGGAAAAAACAACAGATACGCACAGGTAAGGGGAAGGCATGCATGGAAAAACTTGGGTAGCAGGTGGGGAGCATCCCGTGTTGTGCATCCGAAGGCATACATGCAAACACTTGGGGTAGCTGGTGATGAGCACCCTGCGTTGTACGTACCATCAGAAAACTCTCTCATCAGCAAACTCACCAGCAAACTCGTCTATATGCCCTGTTGGACGACAAACACGAAAAAAAAAAACGTCATCACGCGGGTGTGGTGCCTGTTGTCACCAACGGCTGTCTGGAGACTCCAACTGCTCACCTTGAATTCGTCGCCATTGAAGGAGGTGACCGTCAGGCAAACGCCATTGACGGCAATGCTGCACCCTTCCGTGGCTCCTTCCAGGACGGTGTTCGCCTTGACCGTGAGCTCGACCCCGGCCCCCTCCGAACCGTCCCAGAGCTTGACCTTTTCGTTCTTTACGAGAGAGGCCACCGATCCCATTTCCTCAACGATACCCGAGAACATAGCTCGCACAACTTCTCGTCGCCCTGCGCGCGGGTTGCGCCACGCGAACGAGGAACGCAGAAAGTAGACCCGGCGTATCGTTGCAACCGCGTGAGGGTCCGAGGGGGACCGTTCATAATCTAAACAAGCGGCCCCCTTATCCTGCAGAACAGGATGGGAATGATTCTACATCCTGGCGCTGCTGCCGCCGCCGGAGGTGACGCATCTACCAACGTCTCATTGTTGTGTCGAGGGGAAAAGGTACTGTGCGACAACNGGGGGGGGGGGGGGGGGGGGGGGGGGGGGGGGGGGGGGGGGGGGGGGGGGGGGGGGGGGGGGGGGGGGGGGGGGGGGGTCGTACAAAGCCCGTGCCTGCACAAGTGGTACGTTGGAACTGTGATACAGGTGCAGATTCATCGGATTTCGTTGTGTCTTGCTCACCTGCTCCTGTGTTTCGAGGTTGCCGCGAGGACGGCTGTTGATCTCGGTACCCTTGCCCGAGCTGGCGGTGCCCCGCTGAGTGCAGTGCAGCTCTCGAGTTTGTTGGCACCAGGAAGCATGCCCCTGCGGTTGATTCAATCACGAGGTGCTGTCTCTGGTGAAACATTGGAACGACACGAGATGCTGGCAGCAGCTGCTGTTTACTATCGCGTCGTGAATATGGTCTACATTGCCGTGCAACCAGTCAACCCTAGTTTTAAGTGTACGAGAAAGAAGACTGAGGGGTAGTTCTGATGCAGTGAGTGCGTTTCGTTTTGAGAGCAGGTTCGGGCTTAATTCTGGTTTACCAACAGTCAAGAAAGCATTTGAGGTTAAGGGCAGGATGTGAGGGATCTTAATTAAAGAGGTTGAGGCTTACCGTAAGGTTGCTAGTCAGCGCACAAGGGATGCCATCGATTTTCAAAGCGTAATTTCTCCACAGAGACAAGGGTGCGAGCGCCAACTGATACTTGCCAGGAAAGCTCTCGATAAGATATTTCCGTAACCGCCCTTTTCGACAGTGGGAACCTCCTGGTTGTGGAGATATTACGCTTAGAAAATCGCTCGCACCCCTGTGCGCTGACTCGCAATCTTACGGTACCTAATACACATAGCCTCGTAGATGGTGGGCCATTGGGGTTTGTTGGGTATGCTCCGTAGTATGCTATGATTATTTCAGAGAGAGAGAGAGAGAGAGAGGAGAGAGAGAGCAGGCCACATGACACAACTGCTTTGATCGCGTACACGTTTGAGACGCACACACCAACATATGCGCCAAGAGAGGTTGCCGCCGGCCATTCTTTCTGTGTGTAGCACGTCACCATCCCAAGTACAGTCGAGGGACCCTTTTAGTGCCGGTTGAATAGTGCCAGATGCCCGGTATAGTGCCGGTAAAATCTCTGCACACTGGCGGAGCTCTCAATAGTGCCAGATCGGCACTAATTAAAGCATGCCCGATATAGTGCCGGTTCGGCACTGCTGTCACCCCCAATAGTGCCGGTACTCCGCACGCGCGAAACACACACACGCACAACCCAGGGCAGAAAACATAGACTCCACACACAGAAATAGGGTACACGTGCTGCTGCAGACCCGAACAGCTCTACACAGGGGCGTACCATGCCCTGTGCGGAAGGTGAACTGTGCCAACTACAGGACACCACGCCGCAAGACCCTCATGGTCACGGCTGCCAGGGAGGATGTGGCGGGCGACTGCACGGCATTTGCGGCAGTGTGGTTGATGTAGGCAACGAGAATCACCGCATCTGCAGCGCGTGCGTCGCCAAAGCCGGCAAGCGCAAAGTGTCAGCAGCAGACAGCACTGGGAAGGCACAATCTAAACGTCCGAAGGCCACGAATGGGGGGAGTAACAAGTCTCAGCCTCGTGCGCGGCCAGATTTCAGCGCCAAGTGTGAGATGCTGAAGCTGATGGATCAGAAGGTGACTCATGAGCAGCTAGCAGATCGCTTCAAGTGCTCGGAACGGTTGGTCCGGGATGTGAAGAAGAACAGGAAGAAGTACGAGACCGAGGCTGCTGCAGGACGCGGAGGAAGCAAGAAAAACGTGCGCACAGGCAATAATCCGGAGGTGCGCTACTCTGCTGTTGTTTTAAAAAAATACGCGTAGTTCCCGCGCCTTCTTTGCCTTTTTTTTTTTGCCGGGCCTTGTTTGCAAAGAGTTTTCGTTTTTGCAAGGACCTTTTTCTGTAGCCTTGTTCGTCTATCTGATGTTCTTGTTCTTTTTTCTTCTTCTCTTGTCAAGTTGTTCCCTGTTCTCTGTTCCCTTTCCCCATGTTTCTTCTATTTCTCGACTGTTACAGTACTTGTTGAGCTTATTCCCTCTCGTCGTTCGTTTGTGTCTTTTTTTGTGTTACCTTTTTTTTCAACTTTCTTTGTTGTTTTATCGTTCGTGCGCTGCTGCGCCAGCATATAAACTGCGAACCAAAAATGTGTACTTGTTTGTACTGTACTGGTACATTACATCGCACGCACACCTATTCTTTCAAACGAGTTACAATACATAAATACACATGCGGATGCAGCGGCGAGCTTCTGTGGTTTTTCAAATGCCCGGAAATGTTTCCTTCCCACTACGATGCACTGTGCAACGAGGCTTAATGTTCGAAACTAATCGTGCTATCTTTTGTACCCTCTTTATTGTTTACTCCTCGTTTGACGGTCAATAGGTGGACGCCATAGCTCTTGACCTACTAGAGAAAGCCCGGAAGACCAAGATGCCCGTCACGCGCGACGTCCTTCGAAGCTTCGGCCGTGCCGCCAGGGCAACCCTGCTGGCTGATCCAGCAGCTTCTAAGGAAGTGAAGGCGAGGGTCGAGGATTTCAAGGCCGGCGAAAGGTGGGCCAGGAACTTCGTGAAGCGCAACAGCATCGACAGCGTGAGACTTCATGGCGAGGCTGGTAGCGTCAACAAGGAGGCCATCAAGGAAGCCATGGAGGAACTCAAGGCCCTTTGCGCAAAGTACCCGGCTAGGCTCATCTTTAACGTCGACGAGACAGGCCTCCAGTGGAAGCTCATGCCCAGGCGCACGTACCTCTCCAACTTGGAGGATCGGAAGACGGCGCGGGGCTCCAAGGGCATGTTCTTCAAGGATCGACTGTCTGCCATCATGTGCGCCAATGCCGACGGCACTGCAAAGGTTGACATGTCCATCATCGGGAAGGCAAAGGGTCCCCGCTGCTTCAACGACACGCCTTCACCTCTCAAGTACTTCTCGCAGGCCAACGCCTGGTCCGACACCGCGACTTTCCGCAAGTGGTGGTGTGAGGTCTTCCTCCCGTTCGTTCGGCGCTTCACTCACGAACCTGTGCTGCTTCTGATGGACGGCTGTGCTTCTCACGGTGATCTAGTGGATGATCGGGGGCAAGTTACCATCAAGTTCTACCCTCCAAACTGCACCTCCGTACACCAGCCTATGGATCTGGGGATCATCGCCGAGACAAAGTGCAACTACAGGAAGGAGCTGCTCGATGTGAAGACATCGACCATGTTGGTGGCTGACACCCTTCGTGCCGAGGCCAAAGCTCGCAAAATGAAGGCCGGGACAATGGGGCTGGCGCAAGGGCACCAACCTCACGTGCGGGATGCCGCTGAACTTCTCCAGAAAGCATGGGCCAGCGTCACCGCCCAGGACATCGCCAGGTGAGGTTTGAGCATGTGCAATCGCTGTTTATAATGTAAACTGTTCAACTCGCGCCTTGGTGCACATAGCTTTGGTGGTACAAAGGTAACGTGGGTAAGGTTGTACGGATAGATTATATTGTTTTCGACTGAGTTTTCCAACATCCGAATACATATCTTCTTTGCTTTTCGCAAAAACTTGAGTCCTCCCCCGCCTATGAGTCTTTGATCGTCCCTGGGTTCATCTAACATCCGCTTGTTGTCCACCCACAAACGTATGCATGACATTTTCTGCGCTACCTGGGATCAGGTGCTTTGTCAAAGCCGAGACTCTTCCGGACGAGATGGCCGCTGAGCTCACCAAGCAATACGGAAAGTCCCAGTTCCACGTCGCCGAGCCTACCTTGAAGGCTCTCACGGAGACTCTCAACACGTTGAGCACGAGCGTGCACGAGGCGCACAAGCAGGGTACCCAAATCGAGGACGAGGACATCGCCGAACTCATCGCCGAACTCCGCATCGAACCCGGAAAGCCGCTCCTGGAGGAAGCGGTGAACGCGATTCAAGGGTGGGCTACCATCGAGGACGACGATGAAGTGGTTGAGGCTCTCAGAGAGGATACGGTGGAAGACATGACGGCACAGCTGGCTGGGACTCGAGTGTCTACCGGCCGCGAGGAGGAGGACGAGGAGGAGGACAGCGGCGATGACAACACGGGGCTCGCGCGCCGTGTCCCACCGGCTTATGGTGAACTGTCGTCTCACTTCGGCGTCCTGGAAGCGGCAGCAGAGGAGAGCGGCAATGGAGACGCGGCGCTCTACCTAGCGAAAGCGAAGATGGCGATGATTGCAGCGCATTCCAAGAGGCGGGTGCGCCAGGCAGACATGAGGGAGTTTGTTGCTACGGAGTAAGGGCGGGGAACAGCTGTGGCACTAAAAAAACGGTTGTTTGATTTTTGCGGTGCGCTGCCCGTCGTGCATGTCATTTTTTTTTTCTTGCAACATCGAAGCGGGTGCGCCAGGCAAACAGGAGAGAATTTGTCCCGACGACAGTACACAAATAAGCAAATAAGTGAGGTGCAGAAGAAAATGAAGAACCAAAGAGCGCCCCAAGACAACAAAAAGAAAACTCAACTCTGCCCACGCCCATGCTGGAACTTCACTCAACAGTACAGTAATAGTGTCGATCCATTTCGTTCTTTGTTGGCCCCGTAAGCGTGGGCGCTACACCATAAATCGAACACAACCTCATTAGTGCCGGTACCGGCACTAATGAGGGATTGGCCAGCCCTCAATAGTGCCGTTTTGGCACTATTCGCAATAGTGCCGGGTGCCCGATTTAGTGCCGGTGAACGCTCTGTGCACGTACCGGCACTAAAAGGGTCCCTCGACTGTACCGGTAGGATTTTCCAAGCGTGCGGCAACTCGGATACCTGTGTGAAAATTGATTTCATTCGTTTCGTTCGCGCAATTTTATCGCCCGCCTGTGGTCATGAATCCCAGACTGCTACGGCTGTGCTGCAACGCAAAACGCGTTTCCCTCGACGACATATCTGCCATTGACACGCCACTGCTGCTGCTGTACATGTATGTACGTCAACTTGCACCAACAGAAGCACTTGTTCGTTTTGCACATCACACCTGGCACTAATGACACGATCATCCAGCACGATGCTAGCACCCGCACCATCGTCTTGATACCAGGCACTGCTGTAGTGCTGTTGGGGCGGGGCCTGCGTGGCTGCGCTGTCCGGCCACTAGCCAGCAATCTCAGAGCCGTAGACCGCACAGCAACCAGGTGAGGGGGGTCTTCAAATTGTTTTTCAATGGCTTATATTGCATACCCCTCCCACGGAGACTCAGGTGCATTCTGGACCCCCTCGCTCACCACGTCAAGTTGATCATGTGTCTGACCTGCTGTGCATGATATAGCAAAGAGCGTGCACATCCAGTACGTGCTGTGCTTGCGAAGCACGTTGACTGAATGAGAATCCCTGCTGTTATCGGTGGATGCGAAATCAGCAACTGGAGCAGCGCAAGGAGCGGGCGGCATGTCGCCTTTTCCGCTCCTCCTGCTGCTACGGGTCTGAGCTGGCGCACTCGCCGAGGCAGCTTAGTAGCACCAGCACCAGCTCAAGCAGCACGATTCCCTCGATCAAGAGGAATGACCATGCTGGCCAGCTCCACCGCAGACGAGAAAAGCCTGGAAGAGGCCCATATTAGCCGCCTGGAAGAGGCTCGCATGCTAGTGCGGGCGAGACGCCAGGAGGCAAAGGCGCGGCAGGCCGCGATGGCCGCAGCGGCCGTCGAGACTGCACCCGCGGCGAGAGGCGGCGGCAGTAGCAGCTCCACTGCGGCCAAGGATCCAGCAACTCCTGCGAAACCAACGCGCCCTGGCTCGGGGGTTGGTAGCAGTGCCCCTATTAGTTCTAGAACTTCGGATGTCGATGTTGCATCTGGCAGCAAGAAATCGTCGAGCCGCTTCCGCAGCAGCAGCGGCGCAATCAGCAGCAACAGCCGTGGTACACGGGGTGGGTATTACCCTCGAGCGCGGCCGGGCGCGGAGAGTAGAGGAGCTAGAGGACCAGGAGGAAGAGGGGCCGGAGTTAAACGTCGCAGAGTCCTGCCAGACTTCACAAAGGTTACGAAGGCTACCGCTGTTCCTGTGCTTGCTGCTGCCGGCGACGAAGATGACACGGGGCTGGTGGCGGCGATACGGGCGACTCTGGACCAAACCAGGGCGCAACTGGCTGGGCGCAAGCCTTCTACGTCAGCGGCAGCGGGAGGGGTGCTTCCTTCGCTCACACACGGCGCCAAGCAGCAGGTCCGAATTGCATGTGTATCCTGCAAACCTGGCATTGCTCCCGCTATACCTTTCTGCGCTCAGGGACTCGATAGTTGGTGCATGCAGACCAGAACCGTGTTGTGAACGACGTGGATGACTCAACCGATACCATCGAGACGTCTGCGAAAGTGTGGACATATGTACCTTGCAATGATTGTCTTTGACGTCTGGTCCAGGTCGACGGCAGTCCAATCGCTCCTGAAGTGTTATTGAACCTTTTCATTGAGAAGCAAAAGAAGGCGGTTTGCATCGTTCGTGCGATATCCTGCTCCCGCGTCGTGGAACAACTGCAGGCACAACCCTCCAATCCCACCGCCTCCCGAACCTCCATCTTCCTACACTTCAAAACTAGCATCCGTTTTCCTTACTACTGCATCGAAACACAGGGCTGGCTGCGTGTGATCGGTCTCATCCGCCGAGCGTGCGGAGGGGCCGAAGAAAGCGATCGTGGAAGCAGCGGCGGACCGAAGGGCGCTGCCACCGGCGGTGTCGAAAGCAGCGAGGTGCCTCCTCCTCCACCACCTCCTCGGGTTGCGTTTGAGCTGGCCCTTGAGGTCTGCGTCCTGTGCGAGAGGCCGGATGCAGGGTTGGAGGTGCTGAGTCTCATGCGCTCGGCGGGGTTGCAGGCGAATTTGGAGGACTTCAAGGTAAGCGTTAGAAAGGCCAGCGTAACGCGGAGTGACGAGACTTTAGTGTTTTCTTTCCTTCTGCGCCGCTCTTTGTTGGTCCTGAGGGTGTAGTGGTACCGATGCCTCCCCGCGTTCGCAAACGCATGTCTTTGATCTGGAGGGTTCGGTTTGTTGCGGTCTACGTTGGGAAGCGTTCAGTGACAACAGGCGAAGCGAGCCTTAAATCGTCTGTCCCTCCCTTTCGCACCCCCGCTTGCCAAACTTGTAAACTAACTCCCTTTCGTTATATCCTCGCGCCTGCATCCGTGCGGGCTTTGCTCGCAGACTGTGCTCAAGGGCTACAGCGCCAACAGAAAGCAGGGCAAGGCTCTCTTCACCGTTCAGGTTTGTGGTGGATACTCGGTACGGCTCGGCTCTCGAAGGTGTCTTTCCCACCTCACCTATAGTTAGGCATTGTTGAACCCCGGCAAGGCCCGCCTGACAATGCAGGTTTGTGGTGGACACTCGGTACGGCTCGGCTCTCGAAAGTACCTTTCATTCCCCACCCGTGCAGTAGATCGGAGTTCTTGTGTTCCGTGCCGGGCCAAGAGGCACGCAGCCCTTTCGTTGTTCGTCCCGAGGTGGGTGGTTTGTGGTCACGAATTGGTTGGCGTCTACTTTGAGCTTACGGCGTCTTGCGCGCGCCCATCCAACCCCATCCATCCGGGCGAACCGCGGACCTCGCATCCATGATCCTACGGCCAAGACATACAGTAGTCTACGCATCAAAATTGATGAAGCAAACATATGGGATAAAGTATTGAATCCGTGCTTCGGGGTTAGGGTTAGGGTCAGGGATAGGGTCTGCGTGCCCCTTCCCTATTCTTTATCTAGATACTCTTAAAATCCTGCGTAGGCGGTCCAAGACATATCATCACCACACAACAAGTGATAACCTCTCGCCCCCACTTCGGCAAAGCTAATGATTCTGCCCCCCCCCCCC